TATATATATATATATATATATACAAGAAAAGAAGAGTGACTGCGCTTAAAAGATTTATTTTATTTAAATGTAATCTTTTATTGTTAAATATTATTAGACCCGTAGTCGAAAATTATTTAATATAAAAGAAGTAAAAGTAAGTCGCATTCTCTCTAAATCTAAAATAGTAAAGATTTTAACTAATTTGACCCAATTTACGTCGGTGAAGTTAACATTATTATTATTTTTGATCTACAAAATTTTTTGCAACGTTTCTTGATCAATAATTATTAGGGGAGAGTTGCCAGTTGTGAGACACCGCCAGTTGTGAGACAGTCGATTTTTTTTAACGCGTAATATTAAAAAGCCTATTGCTTTATATAAAAACATTTCTTTTTATATGAGTCAACTTTTGCGTGTACACTGAAGCAGATATATATATTGCTTGTATTAAATGCCAACACCGTGTTGTGAGAATCGACTAAAATCTATTTTTTCAATATAAGCAAATTACTTTTTTTCTAAGTTAATTAATTAGTAAAGGTAAATATTATGCATTTTCACTTAGTACTTTCCTTATACTTTGTGATGCAATATTGCATTTTTCAAAATCTACGGTTGAAAAGAATTTTTTTTCGTTTTTAAAAATAGCGCCAATTTTCGGTTGTGAGGCCCAACATGTTACCAGTTGTGAGACGGTGGCGCCATCCATCTGGGATAGCCTATACTTTTTTTATATAGCTTAAAACGCTCAGTTCAGTTTTGTTCGTTGTGTTCTTTTGACAACACAGTATTTAAATATTGTTTTAATTTCTTTTCCCGTATTTTTGGGCATGTCAAATAAAAGAAAGTCAACCGAATTAGAAAAAGTCAATTTTAATGCTCTTATGCATATTTAATATAAATAAATAAAAAAAAATAAATAATAATATTATTTTGTATACAATGATATATATCATTAATATATTTAACTATTTATAATAAACATAACATTTTAAGCAAAAGTTTTTAAATTTTAACAACTTTTTATAAGTGTCTCACAACTGGACAATTTTTTTTTTTTTTGACAAAAAACATGTGCTCAAAAAGTTGATCATAAAATTTTTTGAGTTCTTCTAAATATTATACTTCCTCTGAATAAAAGTTGCGTATTTACTTTACTTTTCGAATGGTGTTTTTTTTTCAATTTCGTTTACCCATTTACAATTTATAAGTCAAAAACAAAACCCGTCTCATAACTGGCAACTCTCCCCTATTTGAAAAAATATTTGTAGGCAAAAAATTAGTTATTATTTTTTGAGTGGAAAATATTTTTTTTTTTGAATCGTCGATCGTAAATGTTGTAAACTTCACCGACGTCCCAATTTGTTTCCACTGTTCAAATATCAAGATTGAAAAAATTAAATAGAGGACCCACATTACAATCATAAATCTTGACCCAACGCATCTATTAGGTAAAGGATTACTGAATTTAATTAAAAAAGGAATATTCGATTATTATTTCACAAATATTAAATATTTAGAAACATTGCATTTTTATAAAAAATAAATAATCTTTGTTCATATTTAAATCATTCACTAAATACCTCTCCCCAACTTAGTTTATTTTATTAAGTTAAATTCAGGAATTAGATTAGGGAATAATTATAAGTTCCTATATTAGTAAAAACTAATAACCCAGAAGGAAATTGCAAATGGTAACCATTGGGCCATTATAGGACCAATGATGGTCTAATATTGCGCCAATTCTGCCAATATTGGGCCACTCTTTTGCCAATGGTAAATTTCCTACTGGGAATATTTAAAAATTTAAATTAAAAATTTAGGACATAACAATAGATAGTTTATAATCGTTATAAGACACAGAGAAAAATGGGATTGTGATGCAAACAATTTTTGGATTGTTGTCAGTAGATTTGTTGATATTACAATTCGGATTGTTGTCAATACAAATGTATGTTGTTTTAACAACAATACGAACTTTTTTGTTGTCAGTTTTGTTTAGTTTGCAATTCCGAACAGATGCAGAAGCAATCTATCTGTCTAATGGAACAATCTGAATTTGTTCAACTGAAAGGTTAAAAATACAAAAATACATAATGTATATTAAATATTATTTAACAACAAATTTCAACTCAAAATAATTTTTTTGTTTCAGGTCAAAGAATTTGATTCAGAAGCTGCATGTTCCACAGATTTTAATGCAATTGAAACTGGTTATATGACCTACGGAAATGTGCTATCGATTATTTTAGAAGACGAAGAAACTGAATAAATTTTATTAGACGGATTAAAGCTTTGTTAATACAACAAATTGTGTTGCCGATTGAACAATTTAGTTTTGTTATTTCCACTGTTCCATAACAATTTTCTTTATTCATCAAACAGTTCTGTTTGTTCACCGAACAATCCGAATAGTTTTAATAACAATCCCATTTTAAGATTTTTTTTGTCCCAAAAACAAATAGAACTGCTGGTTCTATATTGACAATTTGGAATTGTTGTGTGGACTTAATTTTTAGTAACCACAATAATTTTTTTTTCTCCGTGATAATATTTCATTTTTAAAAAGAAATCCAATGATGTGCATATTTTAATAGAAATTTGTAGAATTAATCGTGATTTTTCGTTTTAAAAAATTTTTTTCAATAAATTTGCAAATCCTCTTTATTTGATGATTGTTTTTTTATACATCAGAAGTTTTGAACGTTCAATTGAAGAAAAAATTTATTTATTTAAATTCAAATTTAATTATAAAATATTGCTTTCACTATGGGTAAGAATTCCTGAAGTGGCCCCCTAATATTTTTTGTGTAATAGAAAAAAGTGATACTCACATATTTTGGTAGTCCATGATGTCACTAAAAAACCCCTGAAACGATTTTTCAAAATTCGCATTTTTTTAAAAGTTATAAACAATTAAACTTTTTTGCAACGTTTTGGAAAAAATTCTGTATCTTGAAATTGGCCGAACCGATTTTAATAAAAATTGGTTTGGAGAAAGATTAAGATACGTACTTTTGATAAATAAATAAATTATGAATAAAAAGTATAATTTGTTTAAACAAATTATATTGTTAATTTTTAACTTTATAAATTAACAATGTTCTCAGTCGATTTTTCCAATTTTTTTTATAGAATCATAAAAAGGGGCTTTTCACGATTCCATGACAAAAATAAAAAAGTGGGATTCTCAAAAACTTTAGAAGATACAGAATTTTTAGTCTTAACGCGCGCGAGTTTTCTGAGCAGCTCACGCAAACGGCGCGGCATCTCCCGCGCGCCCCGCGCCAACCAAGACTCCATGAGAGTTCCCGATTATAATATTTTATTAACTCAATTAAACTAAACAGTTGTTTATATGTATTTTATTATTCATATCATTTTTGTTTTTTTTTAATAATTTTTATTATTTATAAAATTTCTGTTTATAATAAGTTTCTGATTATTTAATTTTAATGATAAATTTTCAACGTTTTTTAATTGTTTTGTTTATGTATCAATGAATAATAAAATATATTATTGCGAATCCGTGTTTTATTTTTCTAGACCGCATTGTTTAACGTTTGCTGTCAAAATTTTAACAAATTTCACGTTTATGCGCACTGAATGAAAATTTGCGCGTTTTCACGTGAAAACAAAAGAATCGCGACAATCGTCTGGTCATTCACCTAACATGATAATTTCGTTTTTAGATCATAGTATTTTCTTTACGTATACATAAATGTAAGTCCGTGTTTGTTGTTTCGATTAGTATTTTTCACGTTGTATATTAAAAATTTTACTTTTTCGCGTATGTGCTATAAAAACAAATCTTAAAATATGCCAAAAGCAAATACTTGCTGCAACCCGTTGAAAAAAACGAACATAAAGCAGTTTATAAAAATCTTGTGAAAGTGCCTAATTCGTGGAATTATAGATTTAAAAATTTAATAGGACAGTTCATTTGTTTTTCGTGCAAAGCAGCCATCAACACATTTAACAAAAACAATTAAAAAACGTTGAAAATTTATCATTAAAATTAAATAATCAGAAACTTATTATAAACAGAAATTTTATAAATAATAAAAATTATTAAATATAAACAAAAATGATATGAACAATAAAATACATATAAACAACTGTTTAGTTTAATTGAGTTAATAAAATATTATAATCGGGAACTCTCATGGAGTCTTGGTTGGCGCGGGGCGCGCGGGAGATGCCGCGCCGTTTGCGTGAGCTGCTCAGAAAACTCGCGCGCGTTAAGACTAAAAATTCTGTATCTTCTAAAGTTTTTGAGAATCCCACTTTTTTATTTTTGTCATGGAATCGTGAAAAGCCCCTTTTTATGATTCTATAAAAAAAATTGGAAAAATCGACTGAGAACATTGTTAATTTATAAAGTTAAAAATTAACAATATAATTTGTTTAAACAAATTATACTTTTTATTCATAATTTATTTATTTATCAAAAGTACGTATCTTAATCTTTCTCCAAACCAATTTTTATTAAAATCGGTTCGGCCAATTTCAAGATACAGAATTTTTTCCAAAACGTTGCAAAAAAGTTTAATTGTTTATAACTTTTAAAAAAATGCGAATTTTGAAAAATCGTTTCAGGGGTTTTTTAGTGACATCATGGACTACCAAAATATGTGGGTATCACTTTTTTCTATTACACAAAAAATATTAGGGGGCCACTTCAGGAATTCTTACCCCTATCTAAAAATAAATTAAAAATTTATTAAAAGTTTTATGTATTTTTTATATTTCATTGGTGCTTTATCTTTTTAATATCCAGTTTATTAAAAAAATTAAAATAAATATTAATCAAATTTCTTTATAATTTAATAAGATATTAAAAAAAAAAATTTACTCTAGTCAGATTTTCATTGTACTTGGATTAAATTATGCTTATCTTTTATCACAAAGGATGTCGTATAATAAAAATAAATTTTCTATAAATATGCATATTATATATACATATATATATATACATATAATACTTCTCGCATGAATGATTAGAAAAAAAGACTTACCGGGATCTGCTGAAGGGTGCGATCTCGTAAGTCGACACAGTTGTAGGGGAAGATAACGAGTGTCTGCTCTCGGAGGTGATTTTGGTGGTGGAGGGGTGGCACTTAGAAAACCGCGTTGTAATTCCCATCCCACTTCCTGTATGATCGAAGCTTTTCGGAAGTAGGGGGTCACTTCTCTTAAATATTTCACTGAAAACAAAAACATAGAGAGATACAAATTAAATTTTTTTCTGAAAATTATTTCGTCTCATGAATAACACATTATGTTTTTCCCATTTTCTAATAAACCACTACGTAACAAGACAAGCTATATAACAAATAGGTACGAGATAAAAGCAAAAAAAAAAATAAATAAATAAAAAGAAAATAGTTTATAAAATATATTTCTCTATACGTTTATTAAAAAATAAAAATATTTTTTTTCCATTTGAAATAGAAACAATTCTAAATTGAATTTCTTTTTAATTTTCCCTTACAATTAAAGCATATATATATATATAAAGGTTATATAGCCCTGAAAAGATAGATTTAATATTACACGTTGAATTGGATTACATTGCATCATAAATATAGTATAAAAATCAGCTTTTACAACGTTGAAAAAGCGTTTAATTAAAACCATTTGCGAGCAGAAGCGAAAATGGTGGATAAGTATAATAAGGATTACGAATAACGTGTTGATGAACGCAATATCTGCAATGCGGGGTAATTTCGAGAAAGATGCTTCACTACACCCCGGGTGTAGGTTCCTTCTATACTCTATGAGCTATACTAATGGCGAGACCCCGGCTGCTGCTTCTACTGCTGCTACAAAATGTTGTTATGTGTGATAATTTCCTTCACTAAAGTAATTTCGTTGCGCGCGAGCTTTTGAACTAATTCGTCGTGTGCGGATTATTATGTATCATCTCCAGGGATTTCCCACGACCATATATGGAAATGGCACTTTATAATTTCACATGGATTATATTGCCTCCCACTATCCCTTTCCTCTTCAACCCCAAGTTCTCTATACTCTGTTTTTATATCCTTGTATCCTATAATAAAATTACTCGTTCCAATTTTAATAACCCAACAATATTCAAATTTTCTCTACCTGTTTTATTAAATATTACATTGTACGCGTGTATATATATATATATATATATATATATATATATATATATTCACTGATAATATTCTACGTTATATTTAATATTCGATATCCAAGTACATAGCTATAAAATTACAACATTCTGCGTTAAAAGCTTTCATGAAACTTAATGCACACAAGTAGTGAATTTTCAATTTCACCCAAAAAAAAAAAATATTAAAGCAAATATTTCGTTGAATAATATTTTGTCTCTGGATGCATCAACTTTAAAGTATGCTGTTTGAAGAGCTTGGTAACTACATTACCCACGTCTACAAGTTTTGCATCGTATACATTTTTTAACAAAATTGCACAATTCACTTTGTCAAAAAGAGGATAACAGTGTTCTTCTGAAAAACAAAGGAAGAAATAATCACATAAACTGTTGTATATATATATATATATTGGAAGTATGAGAGATACTTAAAAGTTCTTTTTTAGCGTAGAAAAGCATGTCAGTGGAATTCGCAACATTTTCTTTTTTTATTACCAATAAAAAAAAACAAGAGGATCATTTAAGATTTTACAAAAAAATTACAAGAGAAAAAAGCATAATATATTGAACTAATACCTATAATACACGGAAAAAAAGAAAAAGTAACTTTTACTACTTTAAAAGTAAAATTGGACCTGTCCGAAGTTTCTGCGCATCTCTGGCAACTTTTACTCCAAAAATAGTAAAATTTACTTCAGAAATAGTAAAAATTACTACGGAAACAGTAAAATTTACTACAGAAATAGTCAATTTTACTATTTTTCGAGTAAAAGTTGCCAGAGATGCGCAGAAACTTCGAACAGGTCCAATTTTACTTTTAAAGTAGTAAAAGTTACTTTATTCGTTTTTCCATTTTTCTCCGTGTACTAACTTGTTAATTATAAATAACATATAATTGATTGAATCTGACCTTTTAAAATCAAATTTGATACCTTTATATTTTTGTTAGTTACGGTTCACGGTGATCTTGAACAAAATTAAATAAAAAGTTGCCACACTTGAAATTTCTTTCCAGATTCTTAAACTATATTGTTTCTAGATCATATAAAACCAAAAATGAAAATCCTATATCCATGGCTTTTTGAAAAAAAATTTTTTTTAAATTTAGTACTATAATCATGGATGGATGGTTTATTTAAACCATAATCATCATCTTTCACAATTACCAATCATCGAGAATAAAATATTTTGATGAAATTAACTATTACATTGTAATTGATTTTATAAACATTAATTATTGTTTATTAACAGTTCTTTTATTCGTAAACACACTTATTTGTTTATTTGCAAATACTTGTTTATTTATAAACAATCATTTATCTATAAATACATTTGTTATATTTACGAGTTTTCGGGGTCGCTGATTATGAATGTGGTATTAGATTTTCAAAACTCAAAGTGGTGGATCCAATATGGCGGAAATTTTTTAAAAACTGATTCCCCTTTTTTCAAAATCAGCCCTTATTTTTCGATTTTCACCCCTTCGCGTATTTTTTTTTTTTATTTTCATTGGAAATCTGAGGTTTTTTCCCATGAGCTATGTAAATATGAAAGTGGGACAACAATAATTCCAATGAAAATAAAAAAAAAAAAAAATTCCCGAAGGGGTGAAAATCGATAAATAAGGGTTGATTTTGAAAAAAAGTGGTCAAAAATTTTTTTTTTAATTTTGTATACATTTTTGAAAAGTACGTGAAAAATGCATTAAAATTCATTATAGATAAATTAAAATCCATTAACTTTTGTCATAGTTATACAGATTTGAAAATGATAATGTTACCTTTAACGTCAAAACTTCAACCCCCTCTACTTTTTACAAATATTTTTTTAATGAGTTTATATTTTAGGGATTTATTACTTTTATATAGGACAACAATTTACCAAAGAATGAAGCCAATCCCAGAACATTGACTTTTTGGGCTGGGGCGATTGAAAAAGAATCTCTCATAACTGAATTGACACGAAGCTGAAGTACGCAATTTATATAAACAATTTTTGAAGAAATAATTTTTTAAAATGAAAAATTCTATAATTTTTTGCCGAAAAAATATTTTTCTATAATTTGTTGATTAAGGGCATCTGGGAGAAAATAATGGTTCTGTAGATTTCTTCTCATTTGAAAAAAATAGAATATTTTAGGTTGTAATATTTTGGAAATAATAGAGGAAGGTACCCTGCCAGTGGCTCTTCTCGGAATTTTGCATAATTGTCAAAAAGGGGTTTCGTAAATTTCTTCTCATCTTTAAAGAATAAAGTATTTCGAGTTGGCATTTGGAGGAATAATAGAGGAAGGGTCACTGAGTTCATCACTCTTCTCCATTTTTGCAATAATATTGTGAGGAAATTATTTTATTAAAGATTTAAAGTGGAGTAATTTGGGGTAAGTTAGTTCAGCAGCGGCCACTAGCTAGAATTGGCGCCATCATTCAATGTCTGTCCCCACTTCTGTCAAAAATCCAACTTTTATAACCACGATTTTCAATACTTTTCAACAAAATTACTTGTAAAAATGGAGATGATTCTTAATCAGCGAGCCCTCATCTAATTAATTATTATTTAATTATTTCTTTAAAAATCGTTTATATAAACGTTGCGTACTTCAGCTTCGTGAATTACCTCCCTGAAGTTGGCTTCGACGCTCAGCGCCGAAAATTGTTTTTCGTAGAATCAAAAATTTTAAATTACTTTTTTTTAATTTTTAAATCCAAATAATACCTTGAAAAATACTTATTAAGACATTGTGTGAACCCTAAACCTTTTTAAAAAATGTTTTTATATTTTTGGCCTCATGAAAAATAATTTTCGACGCTGAGCGTCGACCCCAACTTCATGCAGGTCGTGAATTGACTACACTGAAAAAAAAAAATTATTTGATTCAAATACCGTTGTATTTGGTTATTTTCAAATAAATATTTACTTGAATCAAATATTTCTTATTTGAATCAAATAAATGGTATTTGCTGCAAATACTGAAATATTTGATTCAAATACCATTTATTTGATTCAAATAAGAAATATTTGATTCAAGTAAATATTTATTTGATAATGACCAAATACACCGGTATTTGAATCAAGTAAATATTTATTTGATAATGACCAAATACACCGGTATTTGAATCAAATAAATTTTTTTTCAGTGTAGGATTCTTGGTTACGCTGATTAGATTTAAAGTTACTATGGTTAATAGTCATTAATGCGAAGCAAATTTTTTTCAGTGCAGATTGTGGGGCTTCTATGAATGAAAAATTTTCAATAAAAAAGTGATTTTCGAAAAAAATAGACTTATGCTGTTTCTGTACTAATTGATTCAATTTCATAATGAATAAAAAAAACGTTACCCTTCTTCTCAAAAACATCAAATTACAGACGTAGATTATTTGAAAGCATATTGAAAACTATATTATACTCGCTTATAGATAAATTGGATGAGAGAGGGAGGGGGGGGGGGTATGAAGGTTCTAGAGATGCGCGTGATAGTTAAGATCTCGGGGAGGGTCGTTAAAGTCTAGCGGGAACGAGTTTCCGGAGGCCGTATGATTTTCACTGAAAACAGGCTACACGAGGTATGCGCATCCGGTACCTGGTGTATGGTGGATCCATCCGTGCGTTCGCGCGAATAGGTTGCGTCGTAAAAAAAAGTGTCGTAAAACGTGTTACCTCAGCGCTACGCGGAAATGGGACCTAATACCAAATCGATAGTAAATATTGATTGAAATCCCTCGCTTGAATATATATATATATATATGTATATATGCTACACAATCCGTAGACTTGATTTCTTTTATTATCGAAAAAGTAGGATACGCTCATTTAGCATACTTTTTTTATTCCAAACGTTCAAAATTTAGTATTCTTGGCAATGAAACGATGCCTTTTGCTCTTTTACTCACACTTTTTTTTAATGCTTTTTTACTTTATTTTTCCAACATTGGTCTGATTAAAAGCGTTCTATAAGAGAAGGGCAAAAAATTTGTCGCTGTAGCAGAAATGTCTTCTAACTACCTATGCGCCACAGAAATCTCCAAGCACATCCTCGCTTTCTCTTTAGTACAGCAAATCAA